GCGAGGCCATCTGACCACGGTTGCCACCGACCTTGTCCCTGTACTCGGCCGGCAGACTGCGGTACAGCTTTCGGCCTTGCTTCCCACCGTTCCAGATGGTGAAGGCGGGCCAGGAGAGTAGCCAGTGGCGGCAGAGGCGCTCCACGCGCAGCTGCCATATGGTGTCCCTGCCGGACGGCCAGACGCCACGGGGCTGTGACGTCACCTCAGCGCAAGAGCCGCCGGGTCACCACGCGAGTGTGGAGGCCTCCTCAAAGGGGTCCGCTAACGCCTTGTCTAAGGCACGGCTGTGGGGGCCTCCACAGAGCAACGCCTTGTGTAAGACACGCCGATCAAGCTGACGACACGTGGACGGTCGTTTCAACATTTCGCTGCCATCTTAGTGGAAAACAGCCACCAGTGATTGTCCTCAGGGGCGGCTTCGGGCACGCATTTCAGAAGGTGGACGTAGGCAACCGCGCGCTCGAAGTGGGATACCACGGTGCTCATCGACTTTGGCTAACAACTGGCGGAAGCTCTGGATCACATCAGCGGCTCCTCCGATCCCCTTTCGGCCACAGACGAGCCATACCGTGCATGAGGGTGCCCAGGCTCTCACTCATGTATGGAGAAGGTGGCGGCGTCTGGGTGATAACGATACACGAGAACCTCCTCGTCGACCCGCGCCACCCACCACCACCGCCATCTAGGTGTCGGTAGAAGAAGATCAAGTCCTCGGGCGTGCCGCGGCCAGACTCGTCGAACCCGCCAACGCTGGCAAATGACAGCATGCCATAGAGTGTCTCCATACGAGGTTGGCGAGATGGAACAGCACACATCATCGTTTCATCTGACAAATATTTTCACACTGAGATGACGTGCCTGAGTAAGAACAAGATAGACTGAGTCAACCAGGAGCAAGAGCAACATGTCAAGTGTCTCCTGGTAACAAACGCCCGTATGTCCAGATTAGCCAAGGGGTGGGAGGCGAGGACTGCAAAAACTTTCAGCGTTCCATCAACGGACATGTGGCACACACATTGGTAACACCACAGGTTCAGGTGCTACAGCCTTCCACTTACATGGTTTCTCTATGGTCAGTTACCAAAGTGAATATCTATGATCGTGTCCCTAGGGAAGTGAAGCTTAAACATGATTTTATCATATATATATATATATATATATATATATATATATATATATATATATATATATATCAAGCTGTGTGACAGCTGTTAAAATGGCGCCCAAAACAGCCCCAGTCTGGACCAGCCTCAATGACGTCCACACGTGGCGTCACAGCGTCACACACGTGACGCCATGCCGACGTCACACCAGGCCAGGTAACGTCAAACCGCCCCCCCCCCCCCCCCCCCATGCCGCTCACCGGTCGTACACCGCGCGGCTGCAGTACCACGTGGGCATGATGACCGTAGGGCCGTGTGACGTCACCACCTGCTGCGTCAGCTGACGGCGGTCGAGCGCGTTGGCCCAGCGGGTGTAGCGCTCCGTGGAGCCGGCCGGATCACGAACGAACCGGCCGCCGATGATCTGAGGGGCAGGACAGTGCTGCCATCTGTGCGTGCGGCGGGCACTCTTGCCGCCACCTCTCCATCGCAAGTCATATGGTGTCAGCTTGCATAATATCGGGCTATCTACGGAAGGAAGTTGTTTGGACCTCCCTCCGCGTCTGGTGTTAGCATGAACATGGTGACACCGTTGACAGTACCCGTGCTATCATGGCATCGCAACGCACAACGCACACGCAACGCCAACGCACCAGGCGAAGACAGAAGTGTGAACAACTGTCTCAGTAGTAATGTTGATACCTTGTCTGAATCATTCTGGGAGCCCCCAGGCTAGTTACCGGCGGCTCTGAGGTTCTCACCATTATACCACATCAGACATTCCCGAGCAGCGAGGGTTGATGAATGCACAGCGAAAAAGGTAACGTTCTCCACATTTCACTGTTTGGCTCATACCGTTACACTGGTGAGACGGTAAGAGCATTTCGTATGCGGTAACTATATCATGCAAACTTTGGCATATAGAATAAGAAGACGATGAGAACATTCGGATCTTTCGGACGCGCCATCAAATCACAGCGATTGCGTATTACATCGCGTGTTGCACAAGTGATCTTTGTGTATCATGCGTTCACATTCAACCCTTTGCTGAGTCCTGTCCGGGATGCCCTTGACTTGGATGGGGAAAATGGCGCCGGCTGCGCGTACAAAGAATTCAAAAAGGTATGCCAGATGCCACAGTGTAAAAGTCAAGAGTATCAATAGAAAACAGCCAATCAGCAGTCACCTTGCTCCAGCCTCGTTGCGGGTACGAACTGGTGTCACAAGCTCCGAGACATCCAGCACTGACACACCTTAAATAACAACTTTAAACACACCTTTGCCCGTCCCGGTGGCTCAGTTGGTTAGAGCGTCTGCATTCCGACCCACTCATCCGTGGCGGGATGGGTTCGAGTCGCTTTAGGGCGCTCGCTATTTGCCCTTGGCAGGTATGGCCTGTGGCCGGTGGCAGCGGTCGCGCTAAAGGTCAGTTGACGTCAGGGGGCAGGACGGACCGTGCCGAGCATTACGGCACGTTAAGCTTTCGCCACTAAATTCTGCCGTTGCCTGGAACTGCGCGATCGGATGGTGGGGGTCACGGCTCACACAACAAGCACTGCTTAGCGTGAGCGCTGATCCCAGAAATCCATCCATTCAAAGGATTCGGACCAAATTTAAAAAAAAAACAATCAGCGGCCACCTTGCTCTAGTCTCGTTGCGGGTACAAGCTGGTGTCGCAAGTTCCCAGTCATCCAGCAATATGACACACCTTAACTACCAATCAATGGTCACCTTCCTCCAGCCTTGTTGCACCATCCAGCACTCCGACACGCCCCCAACTGGCACGCGCACCCACACACAATATTGCATAGGACGAGCCTGGCCGGTGGGCAGACCAGCGCCATCTACTCACCGCATCCGGACTGCGGAGCGCCGCCAGGTGCTGACAGCGTACCCGGCACGGCCGCATGACGTCATCCTGTCGGCCAGGCCCGGATTAGCGGAGGGCGCCGGCGGGCGCGCAAGTCACGGCCAACGGCGCTAACACTACCAATGACTTCACAGCTGACTGCTGTGATTTTGTGTGAGTGGGATTGGAGTGCTGCCAAAAATCCTGCACATTTAAAACTATCTGTGATGGTTAGCATGATGACTTCCCCACCAATGGCTCATTTTCCATTGCATGTGCTGGATATTGCTTTCCACACTCTATGTTATTTACATGTTTGTAAGACAATGATGTGGATCATTTAAACATAATTAATGCATTAATACCCATGTATGTGGTCTGTGTGTGATTGCATGAACTCCTTATTAAAGGATAGGCTTGCTTAATGCAAAGTCACTTATGTGGTCCTTACCATGCTCTTTGATGGTACTTACAGAGTCAAGAAAGCACAAAAAATTCCCAGAGCTTTGAGCAACAGCCTGGTTTTTTGCATAACCCACTGAAAGCAAAGTGACAAAATTAGTCTACAAAATAAAGACTAAGTGGTTTGAAACTGAAAACAAAAAAAAATTATATCATGAGGTACAAATCTGCCACAGCCCAAAACACATGAGCAGAGACAAGTGTGTTTCAGTGTAGGTAAAGGAAAACTAGACAATGCAATGACACATGTATGCACGCATGCACACATGCAGGCATGTGCACACACACACACACATACAAGCAGCTTCAATATTTCTTTATGAATATTTAAAGTATGTCAAACCACCTCCATCTTCAAAGTCAAGTGCTTGTCAGCTTCTTTTTATGTATACCTCCCATTGCTGGTGTGCCACTAGAGACCACCAAGGCATAGCCCTTGTCTGTCAGGGAGGCCCTGAACTGCTCCAGGATGGCTTCAGACTGGTCTGTGCAGCCATCAAGATATGCTGAGAGTTCAGCTCTCAGGCTATGGTCTTGGCTGAGCACTGACTGGAGGCATGCAGAGAGCCACTTCTCAGCATTGTGGATGGGCAAAATGATGCTCTGAAAGCACAAAGAAGTTCTTACATAAGGAAATGTATGGAACTGTGACTAAAAAACACAAAAAGCACAACTTTTTACATTTACAAAAAACCTTTTCATGATTTGATAAGTTTCATATGCGCATAACACTGTTAGCATTAATCAGAAAATGTGCATGACTAGAGCCACAGTCTATCAAAGCCAAAGAAAATTGCAAGGATACTGGTGAGTAAAAAGACTCATGCTAAAAATATGCCTTTTTTACATCTGATATATTACAACATAAAGCCAATGCAAAGCAGTTAACATGGCTACCACCAGATGAATTATAAATGAAATGGCAGAAAGTTATTCATGTAAGGCATGACATTACACACTTTCGCTAACAAGTATCTGCTTAACCTCAGTCTCACCCACCCAAAAGCCCAACTCTGCAACTAAGTTCTACAACTGCAGGACAGTGAGATACCATGGTTTTGCCTTATGAAGTATAATGATACAACGCCGTGGCCACATCGATCAGTAAAAAAAAAATCAGTATCACTTACGACATCCATGCTTGAATGTTCTTATGCCACAGCCAGCAGTACCTAATACCATTGCAAATGACTACAGTGCCAGCCCAGTAAACCCTAATCCGCTACCAAATAATAACTACTGGCAGCAAGGCGATCTCAAGAATTCCGTGGTCTCGTCCGCCTCGATCATGTAAGCACTGGTGACTGCAGCTCTATTTTGTCGCTATCGCGCTATGATGCATCTTATTTCAAGGTGTATAAATATATACATGTTCTTGTGTAGATACAAAGGAGAAAATCTAGGATGAAGCGAAATGTAACTTAAACGGAAGAATTGAAATATATTGTGACGGTTTTGATAATCTATTCTAACAACAAGTGTCATACCATAGAAATTGTAGATATTCTCGGGGTTTACCACTGGTTGGTGGCAAATTTATTCATGCTAAGGTTTTGGCGCGCGTTCTCTTTGGCGCACTCGTGTTGCGTAGGACCATTTCGTGTTGTGGGTGGAGGCGTACCAAAGGGGATGAGGAATTAATTTTCTCACATAATAAAAAATATCATCATTGTCTTTGCCGCGCAGTTTGAAATAGGTGCCTCTTGCTGGCTCAGTGTGATATTGCTGGGGTGTCCGAGTTGTTGGGGATACGTGTTAGGTGAGCGATTCGTCAATTTGGTGCACACATTTGTTAATGATGGTTCGTATGTCACTTACGCGCGAGCATCAGCGCACGGGTGTGATATAGGCGTCTGGCAATGTGATCTACAGTGTTCTATTCAATACCAGTTTCAGGTGTGCATTGAATGGTGAGTGCACTGGTACATCTGTGAACACTTGTAGTTTTTACAGTTGCTGTTTTACCTCTTCATCTTCTTTGTCCTCATTGCAAACTAGTGGACATTATACCTGATACATATGAATTTATTTAATCTGAAATGTGGAGTAAATGAATTTTAGGATGAATGACTGGCCTTGACCAGCTGTGTGACTCATGTTGATGCATCTTGGAGCCCCCATGACAGGCCATGACTCAATGACTGCTGGAACTAATGGATGGCTTTTTCAGGTCTCTGCTCAGCATACATTCAGGAAATGTCACAGCGATCAATCACGTGAGCATTCTCCTTTGCTATCTGCAGCTGTGTTCTCTGCGCAAGCTGTGGCAAGATCTCAAATGTTGATGATAAGTTATGAAAATATGTCATTCAGCCCACATGGCTTGCATGGTCACAGCTCTTATACAAGCTATGTATTCTGCTGCAGTACTACATTGCAGATTTCTTGACATTTGATGTGGTTTTCTTTAAAATGGACATTCTTTCAATAGGGATATTCTATGTCTTTGTAGGTTGAATGTGAAAGTGTCATTTATGTGGCAAGTGTTTGTAGCTGAAATAGTATAATTCAAGCTTATGAGTCATAACTGTGATGAGAGGGGCAAACAGAAGTTTAACAAGTTCTGGGCATTGTCCTCATGGCTGGAAAGGTAAATACTGTGCTGTGTCTGAGAAGTTCTTGATGAAACTTATCACTTTTCAGATCATTCTTCTCTCCAAAGGCCAAGAAACCAGACAATGTTGAGAAAAGCCAGTCTAAAACACCAGAGAAGTAAGTCACTTGGAAAACCATATTGAAGATTAGGCACATGAGTGTGCCGTTCTTCATCCAAGACTCTCCTATGGCTGGAAGGGCACTGTGCCGATGCTTGACTGGACATCTTAGGTTACAGAACCTTGCTATCACCTACAGGCTGAGACCTGGGCTTTGGCCACAGCTAGCTCATGCCAGGTGTCTGACCATTTCTGCTGTCTCATTCAGGAAGCAGTGCAAGGATGGAAATTTGTCTGATGAACCAGATGGTGATTCACCCATCAAACAGATCAGGAAACGCAGGCCGATGATTGAAAGCGACTCAGAGGGGGAAAGAAGGTTAGTGTGGAGATAGCTGTAGCCTTGACTGAGCCAAAAAGTTTCCAGCTTCTTGCCACACTGACAATGGACCAAGCACATACAGGAGATGCCCCCCAGACCTTTGAAAACCAGTCTGGCCTGAGCCACATGTTCTGTTCACTTTATACATCTGTATCCTCACTCTCACTGTCACCCTTCTGTTTGCACTCACAGCTGTCCAAGAGTGGTGCTAGTATATTGGCCTCATCACTGGTTGAGTTCACCAGCCATGTTATTGTACCTTGTGCTGTTGCTGGGGGGGGGGGGGGGGGGGAATCTCAGGCTATACCATGTCCTGTCTATGCTTCCATTGGCATGTTTTGTTTGATGATTCACCTGCCAGGCTCAATGCACAGGAAAAACACATGACATGTATGTTTGTGGAATGTTTGTGGGTGTATCCAACACCACCTCCACTGCATGGTATTGGCAACAGTTGTGTGTGTTGATGGCTCTTGTGCTTGTATGCACTGCTTTATTAGTTTGTTAACCATCCATTGTCTAGAGTAGTATGTGCTGCCATTATGACATGTGTGTGTGGATCTTGGACTTGTTACATTCAGCTACTGTGATACCATAAGCTTCTCTGCAAAGTGCCACCAATGGTAAAGTAGCTTATGGACTGTGTTTGGACTCTCCTGCAGTCCAATGAAGAGCGACGGAGATGGCCAAGCCAGGAACGGCTCCCCCAAGAAGCAGGTCAAAACCGAAGCTGCGGCCCCTGTCAAGCAGGAGTCCTCCCCGCCGGTCTCCGCCGCGAAAAACGGCAAGGCACCGCTCCGGAAGACCGGTGAGGGCCAGCAATCCTGTATGAATGGAAGACGATATGTTGATGGGACACAGTCTGTGTGCCAAGGAGGGTTTCTGGCGGCAACTTGGGACCGCGCTGAGAATCGCGTGAGAGCTGAGGGGGAGGGGATATCTCTTACCCGGCGGAGGGGGGGGGGGGGGGGGGGGAGGGCTCCGGCCGGGTCTGTGGGCCTTCGTACTAGTTTCAGTTTGAATTGTATGGTCATCACTCATGGAGTTGTTGGTTTGTTCTCTACAATTTGTCGGTGTTCGTCAGTTAACGGTGGACGTTAAGTCAGGGTGGCTCGGGACGCTATCGATATAAGTTGTCGATTTGATCGGTAAAGAAACAGGCGGTTCTCATGTACATACGGCTGTCCATGTTGTCTTCCTCAAGCATACTAAAAACCCAAGAGTGAACACACCCACTTTCCACATGCAGGACTTCATTAGTTAGCCCCTACTGGGTTGGAATGCTGGCATCCAAATGACACCTCACCGCACATATGTTCGCAGCGAGGAAGAGTGCCGTTGGTAGCGTGTCCACGGAGGCCAAGCAGAAGAGCCTTCTGGGGAAGATGAAGTCCACAAGTCCCAAGACGGCCACTGCTGACCGCGACGAGCAGGCCAAGTCCTCCAGTCCTGAGCCTGACGCCGAGGACGCCGCCTCTTTGTCTCCGAAAGCCTCCCCGAAGGAGACGTCGAAGCCGCTGCCGTCCGACTCGACCGTTTCCTCTAGCCGTCGGCTGAATGACAAGGACGGTGACGGCGACAGCAAGACTTCGAAGCCCGGTGGCCGGGCGACGAAGGCAAAGGCGGTCGGGAAGGGGAAGGCGGGGGGCAAGGGGAAGACAGAGGTGAAAGGAAAGAGCGAGGCAAAGGGGAGGAAGCGGAAAAGTGACAGTGACGCCGGCACGAGGAACAAGAAGGAGCGGTGTTCCGGTTCGGCTAGCGAGGAGGACGAAGCGGCCGAGGGGGACGGGGCCGGCCCGGAGGCCGAGCAGCCGGCAGAAGTGAAACAGGAAGCGGCAGTGAAGCGTGAAGAGGCTGATGACGAGGATGCAACAACCAAATCCAAGGGCTCAAAAGGTGAGATGCCTTTACATGCACTGCTTACCGCCGTTTCGGCTATTGTTGCCATGTCTTACGGTCGCTGTCATACCAGCCCTAGAGTGTGGTGCTGATAAACAGGTTAAGATGGCGACAACGCATGGCCTTGCATCATGTTTGTGGACAAATTTGTCTCGCCTTTGCATGTATGTGCTGTGTCTGGGAAAAATTTCATCTTCGAAAAATGGTGTGGGAAAAGGGCAATCGTCGCGTGTCGTTTATCGGTGCCGTCCTGGCGGTTATTGCTCCCATTTTCGGCGATTTTTCACCACTTGTGGTGTTATCTTACGACGTCAGGAAATTTTATGATAGCCAACCCGTTGCCTTAGCTGGTTAGAGCGCCTGCCTTCTGACCCGTTCACCCGTGGCGGGGTGTGTTCGAGTCGCTTTAGGTGCTCGCCATTTACGTTTAACACGTATGGCCTGCGGCCGGTGGCAGCGGCCAGGCTAGGGTTCTAGTGACGTCTGAGGGCAGCAAGGACCGTGCCGAGCCATGCGACACGTTAAAATATCGGCACCAAGTTCCTGCCGTTTAACTGGAATTGCAGAACCGGATGGTGGGGGTCATTGTTCGCTTAACAAGCAGCAATTGGCATAAGCTGTGATCCCAAAAATCCATCCGTTCAAAAGGTCCGGATTGAACCTTAAAAAGCTCCTCATGTCTGTTGCTTTTTATGTATCTGAATAATGATATCGAATAACCTGGTTTTCTGCGTGGAGGTAACGATTCTTACCCAGCTCCATGTACCTGCCCGACCCTCGTGACGCAGCTGGGAGGCCGCACTCCTGTCCTGACCGTGCCGCGCGTGTCTTCTCATCCCTTCACTGCTCAGTTGGTAACAGGCCTGAACTGTGCTATTCGTGACCCTGTCGTGCATCTTGCATTTACTCATGCGGCCCACTTTTCCAGACGTGAAAAAGGAGGGGCCAATGACTGGAATATTCGGCCTTTCGAACAAGTCAGATTCGAACGGCCAAGCCAAGACCGACGGTAACGAGTACGACCCGTCGAAAAAGAAGTATCACCCGGTGAAAGACGCGATATGGAATGCCGGGCAAAAGTGAGTTGTGGGCTTGAGAGTTATAAATAGCGGCGTTGCGAATACCTCCTCTTTAGATGAACACAACTTGAGTAACGGATGCAAAAATGTAGTCTTTCGCAGTACATCACCACTTCCTAGGACCCATCCAAGCCGTCGCGTTTCCCCAACGTGGAGGAAAAGCCTCCGCTGGCTCGGCGTATCGTGACGTTGAGAAATTACGAGAACTGTGGTTATCAGGCTGGGACATCGGTATCCCCACGTTATCACACAGTTCGGATCCTGTGGGTGGCAAGGTTAGCATGTACACGGCATGCTTTTAGAGTGGAGGACCCCGGTCTCAATGCGATGCGAGAAAGCGAGTATTTGGTTAAATTTCTGTGAGAGCGGTGAATGTCGTAGGATCAAATGCCGATTTTTGCGGCACGTGAGAGGCAACGGGTTTCCGCATGGCCTCTTGTTGTCCCCTTTGGGTCCCTCAGAGGCTGCTGCTGACTTAGTCAACCTGTCGCCTGCTTTGTCGCGGACGTGCTCGACTCCCCCGCTCCCTCAACGGCCTGCGTCCCGCCGGGCGCTGCCAGCCATCCCGCGGTGACCTCTCCGGACAACCTTCTGCACCGCAGGGCACCGTACCCCCCGCTCACATCTGGCAGCCGTCACCCCCGGCCCAGACCACCTGATCCACGTGATGCCGTCCGTCCCTGATCCCGTCGGATTGTAGTCGCCGCTGACCACCGGCGCGGTCGCAGGGTGCCGTACCTGGCGCTGGCGCGCACGTTCGAGCTGATCGAGAGTACCAGCGCGCGCCTCAAGATGATCGACATCCTCTGCAACTACCTGCGCTCGGTGGTGGCGCTCAGTCCAGACGACCTGCTGCCCTCCGTGTATCTGTGCCTCAACCGGCTGGCGCCCGCTTACCATGGTCAGTGGGCGCTGCCGGCAGCGCTTCGCTGCGGGCCGCGAGCGGGGTTAGATTGGTGCTGCCGCGGCGGCGCTGGTGACGCGGTGGTGTGTTGTAGTCGGTGAAGTGTTATGTTTGACTGTCGCAATGGCTTGGTCTGGCCTTGTTTGTCTAGTGTTGTGTCATCACTTTGGTACCACCGTGGGGTATTTGTGGCAGTTGTTTACGAGCTATTGCTGTAGCACTGCCCCTCTCAACTCTAGTCCAGTCGTAGTCGCAGATGCGTTGCATGGGCCATTCGCACAGCACGCTGTCACAATAGGCTCAGTGGCCAGTTTGTCCTTCACGGCGTCACTGGCATATGGTCACAAAGGGAGGGCAACCTGTCCGCTATCTGACGAACTCCGAGCCCTCCACATATTGACCTTTTCCTTGACCCCGCACCCTCACGCGTCGAGCTGGGCTGGACGAACCCTGAACTCTTCACGCTGACCCCCGCCCCCCTCTCCCCTCCCCCTCCCACCAGGCATCGAGCTGGGCTGGGCGCACCCTGAACTCACCACACTAACCTCTCATGTCCCCCCCCCCCCCCCCTGCCTCCCATCAGGCATTGAGCGGGAATGGACGAACTCTGAACCCTCCACATTGACCCCGCCCCTCCCCCTCCCACCAGGCATCGAGCTCGGCATCGGCGAGGGCGCCATCACGAAGGCGGTGGCGCTGTCCACGGGCCGAACCGTGGACAAGGTGCGCGCCGAGGCGGGCGAGCGCGGCGATCTGGGCCTGGTGGCCGAGGCCAGCAAGACCCGCCAGAGGCTGATGTTCCGGCCGGCGCCGCTCACCGTGGCCGGCGTGTTCCGCGCGCTGTGCCAGATCGCCGAGATGACCGGGCACGCGGTGAGGAGAGAGGCCGAGGGCTGAGGAGGGGGAGGTCGGGGTGAGGTGGGTTCGCGGGTATGGGTGAGGTCCGGAGGGACAGAATCGTGCATGGGTGACAGTGATGTTGAGCGCAGCTAGTTCGCGTTCAGACTGCATGTCACTACCAGCATGTACTGGCCGGGTACGTGTTTTCTTAGCCATACGTCAATTGTGAACTGAGAGGACAAACCAGTTTTCGCACATGAAACTTAGGATCTTACATCTCATACAGTTTGCGACCCCAGAATTGTGAGACCTTATGACAGCGATGACTTGATGATCCGGGAGTGTGGTTCGCTAAAACGGCCGTTGGTGCTACAGGCGATGAACAAGAAGGTGGAGAAGATGCAGTCGTTGATGGTGGCCTGCCGGCACGCCGAGACACGCTTCATCGTCCGCTCCCTGAGTGGCAAGCTCAGGATCGGCCTGGCCGAGCAGTCAGCCCTTCAGGTATCCATGGCAACGCTCGCTTCCCCGACGGGCAGAACCGCGTGAAACCACGGTGACGTGCGCGTTAGCGGGTCAGGTACCCATGGCAACCAGCGCTTCTCGGTTGGCTTGGCACGGTGACGTGCCTTGGTGTATGCTTGCGGTGACAGTCGGCGTCACGTGTGTGCTTACTGCCGCCCGTCTGCTTACTGAGGATGGTGACACGACGGAGATTTAACTGCCGTGGTTGTATGAGCAGCCCATCGGCAAAAAAGGCCGAAACAAGCTTTCTTTTGGATGTACGATGACGCCCCTCCATGTGAACAGGCCGAGTGACGGCTGATGAACGCCTCGTCTTTCACCAGACCTGTGTGGTGACTGAGGCCCCCCCCCCTTCCCCCCTCCCACCAGGCGCTGGCCCAGGCGTGCGTGATGACCCTCCCCTCCCTCCTCCCACCAGGCGCTGGCCCAGGCGTGCGTGATGACCATCCCCTCTCTCCTCCCACCAGGCGCTGGCCCAGGCGTGCGTGATGACCCCCCCTCTCCTCCCACCAGGTACTGGTCCAGGCGTGCGTGATGACCACCCCTCCCTCCTCCCACCAGGTACTGGTCCAGGCGTGCGTGATGACCCTCCCCTCCCTCCTCCCACCAGGCGCTGGCCCAGCGTGCGTGATGACCCTCCCCTCTCTCTCCCACCAGGTACTGGTCCAGGCGTGCGTGATGACCATCCCCTCCTCCTCCCACCAGGTACTGGCCCAGGCGTGCGTGATGACCCCCTCTCCCTCCTCCCACCAGGCGCTGGCCCACGTGCGTGATGACCCTCCCCTCTCCTCCCACCAGGCTGGCCCAGGCGTGCGTGATGACCTCCCCTCCTCCTCCCCCTCCTCCAACCGGTACTGGTCCAGGCGTGCGTGAGTGACCCCCCCTCCTCCTCCCACAAGGAGTGGCCCAGACGTTGCGTGATTGACCCTCCCCTTCTCCTGCCACCCCGGTAATGGTCCAGGCGTGAGTGATGACATCCCCTCCCTCCTCCCACCAGGCACTGGCCCCAGGCGTGCTTGATGACCATCCCCTCCCTCCTCCCACCAGGCACTGGCCCAGGCGTGCGTGATAGACGCAGCCGGAACAGCCTCGACCAGCCGAGCAGCTTGGACGCCACTGGCCGGGCCTGTCAGCCGCCGAGAAGGCCAAGGCCAAGGTGGAGTAGGCGGCGCTGGTGCTCAAGAACCGTCTACTGGTCAGTAGGGCGCGGGGGAGCGTGCCTGCCTCATGGTTCCTTGGGGGAGGTTATAGGTCCAGGACCCCAACGGTAACATTCCCGCCGCTGTGTGAGGGTAGGGTGGTCTGAGTTGATGGGCTGTGTTCACGAGGTGACGCCTAGCGACTTTGGAGATGGGGCAGCTGTTCGCATGAACATAGCAGAGCCATGTCGAGTTGACCGGGCCCCATCTCGTGACCATCAGAACCCAGGGGGTCTGGGTCAGCACGGGATTTTGCTCTCCTCCGCGGCTCGGCTGCTCTTGAGGAGTTGACCGCGCCGTTTCTCCGAAACTTGTCGTGAAAAGAGCCTCACTGTCTTCACCTGTGCAGTTGAACCACCCTTCGTGGTAGGAAAGGAGTCGGATAACGCGATTGCGTGCGCGAGGCGGCTTGAAAAGCCTGAGGGTGTGATTAAAAGAAGCTGAACAGCCGGTCAGACGCGAGCGCAGCCCCCTACAGAGCTCGACGCGTGTGGCTGAATGGCCCCGACACCGAACGCCCTCAGTGCGGCCGGTCACGTGACCCGTGTTGCAGCGAGTGCCCGACCTATGACGAGATCGTGCCGGTGCTGCTGGAGCACGGACTGCAGAAGCTGCCCGAACACTGCCGCATCCGGGCCGGTGTGCCGCTCAAGCCCATGCTGGCCCACCCCACCAAGGGTAGGTAGGGGTTGTGCTGGCCCACCCAGCAGGGGTAGGTAGCATCTTCTAGCAGGGCGCATCTTCCATTGACGTCTTAGAGGTCAGAACAGGTCATTGACCTAAGACGACCTGGGTCGACATTTTGTTTTAGGAACATACTGTCTAGCGTAATGTTTGTCGCTTATTCAATGCAAAGCTCAGAGCAGTGTTGGATGAATTTGGTCACCATGACCTTCGAAAGGTCAAACAAGGTCACTGACCTCAAATGGGCTTGCGACCTTTTGCTTAGAAGCAGTTGTCTAAGTTCTGGGGGCACTTTGGAGACCAACCTGGAATTTGACCTTGTTTGACCTTATTTGACCTGAAGTTCATGACCAAGGAAGCTCAAACTGTGGCTTAAGTGAGTTCACGTACAGGTCAGGACACTCCATAAATTTCGTATCTCTAGCTTTCTTAGTTCTCGAGATCTCAGGGGGGGGGGTCAAATTGACCCCCACCCTAGCGAAGGGTATCTAGCCGGCCACCCGGGCGCGTGTTAATCGAGTCCTTGGTGGGACTGGAAAGCTTGCTGCGTGGTTGAGTTCTTTGTTTCGTTCAATATAAAATGCGTTAAGCTTCGATGGAGTTTTGGTTTTGGTGGTGTTGGTTTGCTTTGGGTCAATGATTTCGTTTGGGTTCAGTGGTTTCCCCAGCGGTTTTTTGTGAATCGTTATTCGCGTTGGCAATATTTCGGTTTGCTTATGTTTTGAGGGACATTGACCGAGTCACTGCAACGTGGCGCCACGCTTGCAATGTTTGCAAACCCCACGACAACAGCGTAAAACATGTTTCGTTTCCCTTCCGACGTGGCGCCCGTGAATCCGTGACCTCTTCAATACCTGACCGACGCCGCCGCCCCAGGCGTGTCGGAGGTGCTGTCGCGGTTCGAGGGCGCCCAGTTCACCTGCGAGTACAAGTACGACGGCGAGCGCGCGCAAATTCACCTGCTGGAGGACGGCTCGATACATGTCTACAGCCGGAACCAGGAGGACAACACCACCAAGTACCCGGACATCATTTCTCGCTTCAAGGCTTGCCTCACTGGCGATGTCAGGTGAGAGCAGCGTTCACCGATGGCGGAGCTCACTGTGATAGGAGGGGTGAGAGGCACGGTGGGACGCTGCGACGGATGGGGACCAAACGGTAGGGGACCGCGGAACAGCACTGAGAACGGGAAAGGAACGGTTGGCGGCGCGGCGAAAATGGAACGGAGTGAGCAGCCCGTGAGCTGGACTGCGAGTGGAACAGCAAATAACGCGGTTTCGAATCTGAGAGTGGAGCCCTGACACGACTGGGGAATGTAACGGGAGCGATTGGGGCTGTTCTCTGAGATGCGCTGAGTGAGATGGTTCGAACTGGGAGCGTGACCAGTGGTAGAGCCGGGACGACACGTCGCTCATTTTGCGACTGTTTGGCGCTTTCTGTATGGACAGGGCTGAAATTGGTTGCTTTTTTTCAGTTAAGTCGTTGCGCGTACCGAAATCCCGCTTTGTATCAAGCAAGCCTGTGAGTTTGGATGAGAGTGATGCACTCGAAGGCTGATGAACCAAAGGTAAGTGTTTTTCGCCGTGAAAACTGCTCGTGCTTGGGTTGAGTTTGCGACGTTTTCACGACCGCGCTCCGTGTGTCCTCCATGTCCGCTGCGGACAAGCACTGCCCGTGTCCGCTGCCGGCAAGCCTCGTCCCGTGTCCGCTGCGAGCGAGCCCTGTCCGTGGCCGCTGCGGACGAGCCCTGTCCAGTGTACGCTGCGGACGAGCCCTGTCCAGTGTCCGCTGCGGGCAAACCCTGTCCGTGTCCGCTGCGGACGAGCCATGTCCGTGTCCGCCGCGGACGAGCCCTGTCCGTATCCGCTGCGGACGAGCCCTGTCCGTGTCCGCCTCTGACGTGTCCGCGCCGTGTCCGCACAGCTCGTGCATCCTGGACTCGGAGGCGGTGGCGTGGGACACCGAGCAGAAGCAGATCCTGCCGTTCCAGGTGCTCAGCACACGCAAACGCAAGGTGAGACACCTCCATCCCGCTCCGCTGAAGTGGCGGCGCGCACGGTTTGTCGTAGATTGTTTCTGTGGTTGTGCACGTGATAACATAGGCCGGCAAGACCAGCCAGATTATCGGAGCGTACGCTGGAGCATATCCGGATTGGCGATTCTTGTTGGCAACGGAGTGGCAATACCAGCAGGACCCAGATTACTGTTTTTTGCTCCGTTTTGTCTGGAGTTTATAGCTGGCTTGGCTACAATCTGGTCGTTGGCTGAAAAGTCTATGGTCCATCGTTCTGCGTAACACTGCATTAGGCGGTGTGACTTGCCACCCCGATTCGTCCAAATCGCACCCACGGCGTTGTGTTGTACTACATCGTTTCCTGAACCGGCCGAGCGGCACACGGCGGTGGCCGGAGTGACCAAAGTTTCGCGATGTGACCGCCAGGACGCCGGCTCGTCGGAGATCAAGGTGCAGGTGTGCGTGTTCGCGTTCGACTTACTGTTCCTCAACGGGGAGTCCCTCGTCACCCAGTCGTTCGAGCACAGGAGAGAGAGGCTACGCAACAGCTTCAAGGTCATTTCACTCCCGTGGTGTACGGGCTACAAGTGCCTCCGGATAGTCCGGACTGCATGTGCGAATATTGGAAACCATGAAGTAGTGCTATAATCTAACGAGTGTTGTGGGCGTTTTGGGTTCCCTTCACAGGCCAGTATCGGTCTGTTAATTTGCCTATGTATGTTTATCTACTGATGGCTTCTCGGTGGAGCCAAATACCTCTGTTATGTTTTGTCCGTCCGATTCTGGGCAGGGAGTGGTGTGCATTTTTGACATTATGGAGTCGCCTGTCGCGGGTTTGGCCGCTTTCTTCATAACCCCGTCCCAGAGTGCGCCCAGACCACCGTAAAATACAGGTGTCTGGCAGAAGCGACGATTGTTTTCGCCGCGAAAGGGTATTGACATGTAACCTTTTCAAGAAGTGTCAAATATTTACTCTCTTTCGGATGAATGGTATTTGTTCTCTAACTGATATGTCCTTGTATGTCTATGGAGCTTGGTGTGGACAAAATCCAATGTGTGCGTTTCCGTTTTGTAGGGGCAGTACTGATACGATGCGATCCAGGGCATCTATTGCGCCAGCAGCTTTCTATGGCATACTGATGAAATGTCCTCACATCAGAGCAGTATTGTCTTAGCATGTAAGCCGAGAGGATGACCATTTCTTCATGCTCCAGGAGGTGGAGGGTCAATTCACGTTTGCCAAGAGCATGGACTCAACCAATGTGGAAGACATAGCTGAGTTTTTGGATGAGTCTGTGAAAGGTGAGTTGTCATGTCCTTTCCGATGTTTTCGTGTGTTCTGCGGTGTTGCGTTCTCCTTGGACAAAGTGAATGAGCAGTTCTTAGTCATCAATGTTACAGCGATCAGAAAAAACGCAGTTGTTGGCATGCATGGAACCAGCGGAATGTGTTCAGCGCGTGTGCACCGATCGTTTGTTAGGTTAACTTTGCACGTGGTTTGACCGCATAACTGCCTATCAGCTGACCGCGCGCTGCTGAACCGGTGGCGTATCCACGGAACTTGTAAACTATCGAGGGTCGAGAACTTGTGACCGCGCGCTGCTGGGCCGGTGGCGTATCCACGGAACTTGTAAATTGTCGAGGGTCGAGAACTTGTGACCGCGCGCTGCTGAACCGGTGGCGTATCCACGGAACTTGCAAACTATCGAAGGTGGAGATCCTGTGACCGCGTCCGTTCACATCCGACATCACGTTATCATGACGTCAGAGACTTCACCTCGCCTCGCATCGGCAGGCAACTGCGAGGGCCTGATGGTCAAGACGCTGGACAGAGACGCCACGTACGAGATCGCCAAACGGTCGCGCAACTGGCTCAAGCTCAAGAAGGACTATCTGGACGGTGTGGGCGACACGATCGGTAGGCGGAGGGAGACCGGGGCTCCTGGGAGAGGGACCCGGGGAGACCGGCGCTCGTGGCTCTGGGAAACTCGTGTCCGGTTTCATGCCGGTCGCCCAGCGTTCCAAAATTCGTCCAGTAGGATGAGCAGGGAGTCAATATGAATGCATGCTACCAGAATCCCGGCTCTCCGGCAGCCACGCACGCAATTCGTCGACGTTAATCCGTTGCCCTGTGACCCCGACCGAGATATTTGATCTACTCAGCTAATTTGTCAATCCTGAGGCGCGCAGATACTGGTTGACGGCCGCCCGGTCCGATGCTGATTGGCCGATTCTGAGCAAGGGAAGGGACCACAGGCAGTGAGCCCAAAGCCGGGTTGTTAAAGCATGAAAACATCGACATCCCCACCACCTAAGTGGCCGAATATTGGAACGCTGCGGTCTTCTGTTGGTCGCGACGCTAGCAGTTGCCTGTATGTCGGCATCGCTTTGATGCGGCATTCAATTGGGCACGCGGGCGTCACGTGCGTGTTTTTCTTACTGTCGCCTATCCACAGGCAGGCTAGGGAGCCCCTCCCACTTCCACAATGCCACAAAACCCATACCTCAATTTGAACACGCTTAGACACACCCGATCGTAACGCGCGTCGCAGCGCTCCACACAATGAAGAAATGCGAAATGTGAGTTGAACAGTGGCGCAAGATGGCGCCGGACCTTCCCGGCGTGCCGGAATTCACAAGAAGTGGTCACAACGTGGCGGTGGCCGCCGATTCCGACGTGTGACCCGTAGAGCATCAGAGTATGCCGCGCGGGTGCAATGGGATCTCGACCTTCTGCGCGTGGGACAGCCCCAATCGTCGTCGAAGCATGCCGACTTTTTGAACGTTCGTAAATCACAAGAAACTCGGCGTGTTTCGTGTGCGCACACTTGCCGCGCGCGTCATGTTCTGCAAAGACAGCAGGCCGGATGGTGGACCAGGTGGAGTTTCGGGTGGGATACGCTGCTGAGGGGGGTCCCTACGGCACGATGCCAGAAGGCGACCGAGACGCATGGCCCGTAACAACCTTGTTGAAGGTGACGTCATGGCGCACGGTGGCGCAATGACAAAGCAAGGATCACCCGCTTTCGCTAGTTCGAAGCCGGTGTCGCGCTGCTGGGAAGCAAGAGCGCACGGACAGTTTGCATGCTTTGACCGCGTGGGACACACGATTTTCTCAGTGCGATGGGAGACAATCGCCAGGCGCCGGCGCTAGTTATCCAGTGGCAGCAGCGTTGCGCTTGTCACCATCTTCTGCGACGATAGGGAAGGGTGGCAGCAGATGCCCTGACAATTGTCCTCGGCTGGTGATCCAAACCCCTGCTCAGACACCGGCACGTGAGGTGGTATCTCAGGATCACGGCTGTCAGCCGGTCGGTGGGGCCGAGCGGCCGGCACTCCCGCGGCGGCTGTGCTGATCCGGTCGGAAACGTCGGTGTCGGCGTCAACGTGATGCCGACGCGGAACTGACAGACGGGAAATGCTTCCTTAGGGAGCGACGTATCACGAACAGTCGAGTGCCGTTGTCAGGCTACGCGGTATATTACAACATCACGTCTCAGCAGCCTGCGCAGACAACCAACGGACGGCGGTGACCTTCCCCGAGGACGACGTCATGTCATGTCATTGGGGCTTTACGACGCACTCAGCTGCTGATGACTATATGACGCCGCCTGCCTCTCATCCCTAGGCAGGAAGGGCGGGCACCGCGGGGAACCGAACCCCGTACCTCTGGTCCTCCCAGACGTGCAGTGGTTAACGCAGACCGTTAACCACTACACTACCGCCACCTCTCCCCCGAGGATGAATTGCGTTCTGTTGTCAGCAGACAAGCTTTACGTTCTAAGCAATCAGCCAATTGATACGTTGAACACCTTAGCATTATCCACCATAAACACTGCCAACAGCTAGACACTCGCATATCGTTATCAAACAACACCATCTATAAGTACCGCACGCCGCAGCGCTCGTTCTCGCCACCTAGCGGCGACCCACTCGGTAATGTTGGCCGCGCACGTGGCGCCGTTACAGCGGGTCCTGCTGTCAGAAACAGGGGGATGTCGTGCCGCAGGCTGCCGTGTTGTCATCGTCACCGGAGAATGAGCAGCCAGTGAGAGGCTTCCCCACAGCTGGGCGGGCAGCGCAGAGGAGCCTACGTTAGCATCATCCCAACTTTGGCATTGTGCCTGTAATGGCTTGGCTATGTGGACGCTCGGAGGCTGTTTAATACTCCTGTCGCGCGCATCACAGTCGCTTCAGTTAATTATAATTACAGGTTCACCGGAGTTAATTTTGGGTGCAGCATTCCTTCATTCCGTCGTATGGCCTTCGATAGCATGTTTGCGGCAGTGTTCTCGCCCCCGTCCTTGCCGTTTTCCAAGGTTAGGACGCGGTGTCGGCTGTCTGCGCCATCTACGCCTGTTGTGCAATCGATATGTGATGTTGTCTAACGTTATCGGTAACGAGCCTTGCCGCTGTAGCAGTGCTCACTATGTCCAGTTCTGGGTCCGAGGCCTTCGACGCCGCCCAGTCCGATCGCGCTCGACCCTGACCCGGACCGACCCTGGCTGACCTGACCTTGGCCGATTCGACCTTGGCTGACCTTGATCATGACCAATCACAACCATGACCGACCCTGACGCTGACCGAGCCTGACCCTGACCGACCCTGACCCTGACCGACCCTGACCCTGACCTACCCTGACCCTGACCTACCCTGACCCTGACCGGCCCTGGCTAACTCCGATCCTGATCCTGACAGACCCTGACGCTGACCGACCCTGACCTGACCAACCCTGGCTGACTCCGATCCTGATCCTGACAGACCCTGGCCCCGACTGACCCTATCCCGGCCGGCTCAGACCCTGGTGACCTTGGCCCTGACCCCCGGCCTCGTGTACGCGGCAGACGTGGTGGTGCTCGGCGGCTTCCTCGGCAAAGGCAAGCGAACGGGCGGCTACGGGGGCTTCCTGCTCGCCTGCTACGACCCCGACAACGAGGAGTTTCAGAGCATCTGCAAGGTACGGCAGCAGGCACCGGCCACCGGCATGGGTGGATGTCCGTGTCGGAATGGAAGCGAGCTGGCGTGGAAGTAGTATGCTGTGTTACGGGGAATATTTAACAAGTTTTACAAGTTTTTGCTTTCAACAGTGAGTATTTTACAACGCGTAATTTGCCAGTGGCGTGCGCGGTTATTGTTTTACGTCCCGGTTTGCTGTCCTCTTTAAAGCCCTTTACCTTGAAGCGGTCCCATCTCCGTTGTCGACGTCATCGGCCTGTCCTCAGATCGGCACCGGGTTCTCGGAGGAGGACCTCCAGAAGCACTCTGCCTTCTTCAAGGACCACAAGATCGACGCTCCCAAGTCTTACTACCGGTACTCAATCGAGCCCGACCACTGGTTCGACGCCGCTCAGGTTCGCACCGTTGCTGGCTGGCTTACGCGCGGCGCAGGCTTGGACGCCCGCTCATGCGGTGGCTGAAGTTTCGTTTCGTTGGGGATAAGAAGGCCGCAGCAACGGGATGGGTCGGCCGCATGCGTTCTGTGTCGCGAAAGTGGGGAGCGTTGGAGTCAGATGTTGGACGTTTGCCTCAGTTCTTAATTGTGATGTTCGTCTTGGGCATTGGGAGACGCAGTTGTCCCTAGCTTCAGGCTCTGGTTCCCAACGCAGTGTCCCAAGCTTCGAGCTCTGGTCCTTAACGCAGTTGTCCCAAGCTTCGAGTTCTGGCCCCCAGTGCGATCTCTTACAAGAGCGTACACAAGAACCACAGTCGCTTTTTCGCAAGACATCGAAACAATCTCGGGATCGTCGACACCAGCTTTGGAAACCCGGCTGGTAGATGCTGCCCCCCCCCCCCCCCTCCCGTGTCGTGGACTCGCCCGGGTCAATGACTTCTGCCTGGTCGACAGGTGTGGGAGATCAAGTGCGCCGACCTCTCCATCTCACCCGTGCACAAGGCCGCGCTGGGCATCGTTGACCCGGAGCGCGGCATTTCGCTGCGCTTCCCGCGCTTTCTGCGCGTGCGCGACGACAAGACGCCAGAGCAGGCCACCTCCGCGCAGCAGATCGCCGACATGTACAACAGCCAGGACCAGGTACGGCAGGCTGCCCGCCCGTGTTATCCCCGCCCGCCGGGAACGGATGAGCCTGGGCTGGCGATGGCGGGCATGGGATCGGTGCCAGATACGGACGTTCGGTACTGAAGGTGCGGAGCCGGCGATGTTGAAGGCGTCGAAGCGGGCGCCGGCGCTCGGATAGGCAGTGCGCCGGGTGCTACCAGCTTTGGACCGGTGGCGGCTGTCACTCGTGTGGGGTGGTGCCAGGGTCGGGCTTAGCATGGGTGTAGCTACGTCTAGGAGGTTGTGAGGAGAAACTGAGGTCGGGATTGCGAAATACTGGAATCTGGAAGGGTCAACCTGTCCTGACAATGATATTTAGAATGGGAAAGCGTGAAAAACGAGCATGCTACGGGCAAAATTGGAGGGCGCAAAACCTCACTTTCTGAAAGCTGTAGGGGACATATCCTCAGCCCACAGCCTCGTAGACACACCTGTGAGTTTAGTATTGTCACGTCTGGTGTACGTTGGTGGCTCTCACACCCTAAGTAAAGATCCCGGCAGACGATCTGTGTTAGACGAAATGCTCAGACTAACGTCAAGGATCGGGTCCACGGCGCAGCGGTAGTGCGTCCAACTCCAGGCAGCGCGTCTGATTCCAGGTAGCGTGTCTGACTGTAGGTAGCGTATCTGAATCCAGGTAGTGCGTCTCCAGGTAGCGCGTCTCCAGGTAGCGCGTCTTCAGGCAGCGCGTCTCCAGGTAGCGCGTCTGATTCCAGCTCAGAAGGTTGCGCGTTCAACCCATGTCGGGGTTAGCACTTAACGCGCGGGAGCGCGCAAAGTATGGTGCCATTGCATTTGTGATATGAATTTGAACTGCAAACTGCACACAATCATATGCCGTGTACTTTGTGCCGGAAGACCTCGTGACACGCGTACAGTCGCGCGTCGCCATGTTCCAACTATTACGCGGCTTTCACAGGTGAAAAACCAGACGTCCAGCAAGGCGGCTGACGAAGAGGAGTTCTACTAGGCCGCGGCGAAGTCCGGCGGGAGAGGTTGGTCTCCTTCCACGAGACTGCCGCGACCAACAACCGTGTGGCGGCTCCCCGCCCGTCACGGAGGTGACGAAGCCCCGCCAGCACACCGTGACGCGGCCGTGACGGCGTAGCGTCACGGGAGTGTGCCTAGAGCTGTGTCACGGCAATGTGACGGGCCTGCGCTGCGATGCCGTGACAGAGGCGGCGCGTGCGGGGGATGTCTCCTGGCCTGCGCTGCGGTGCTGTGACAGAGGCGGCGCCTGCCAGGGTGACGTCGCCCGGTCCGGTACCTGAGTCGCCTCGTCTAGCCGGGCCGCGTGAGCACCGCCGTCGCAGGCACTCAGCCCCGATAGGCGGGCCTGCTGTGGCCGGACACTGGGACGCAGCCGTGCAGGGTCTCTCGGACGTGCTGCAGTCGGCCCTGGGACCGGCCGGCCGCACGGGCTCGGGCTACAAGCGGTGTACAAGCGATGCTTCTGCGCGTGTTGAAGTCGTTTTGTAATTCGTTTTAATTGACGCCTGACTGGTGTGAAATGAATGACGCGATGGCCGCCGTCGCGTGTTGGTTTTCGGACATGGTTCTTTGAAATACACGTGATGTTTGTTATCGCTGTTATTTCATTGCGCCGACTGGGTTTGTGGCCTGTCAATAATGTCATGAAAAGCCACGAGCACTCGGGCGTAACGTTTTCATTAAACATGCCGCTTCATGGTCGTATTAGTGAATTATTAAGCAAAATCGACAAGTCACTAGGTTCCCTACATACTGTGACAAGGTATTTGCCACGCTGACGTTGAATACGATCGACAAGATATATCCTTGGCCCATCGCATCACGTCTTGCATACATCACAGTAGTCTATCCGGACAGCGTTGACTACTGTAATATCTTCGGTTCCATTTCACGCTAGTCGACATGAGACTGGAGCGCTCGCATCTCAAAATCGATCGCCTGGCAACACGCGCACATACTAGATCACGTTTCAGCGATCTTCTCTGTGATGTCGGCTGGCAACCGTTCAGAATTCGCCGCACCATCTACGAGGTGACAGACCTCAACAACCATCACCAGCCATAGCGACGCCTGCATACCTCGGTGGCATCACACTCTCCACAAGTCGCGTTGGACTGTGCTGCGATTGGCGAGAAGTAGCGTGGCATGCGTCATTATCTAACAACAACTCTGAGTCATGGTCGCAGTGTGACCACAGCCCGCTTGGGACGGATTTGATGACCCTGTTATCACGAGCGGGAACTGCTGGAATGAGCTGGGGTGGCGGGGCTACTAACATGGTTGTCTAAACTGAAGGTCTTCGATTTTCAATGGGTTCCTACAATTGTTGCATGGGCTGTCGGCGAGGTATGAAGAGACAAGCTGAAAAACTCAAATTTGTGCCCAAGTCTCCCAGTCTTTTTTGGAAGGTGTCGCTTATGGGCGTAGCTCTCCATCGGAGAGAGGAAGGGAGAAGAGAGAGAACGAGAGAGAGAGAGAGAGAGAGAGAGAGAGAGAGAGAGAGAGAGAGAGAGAGAGAGAGAGAGAGAGAGATCCTTCCTACTTTCTTATCGTTCAATATTTTTATCGAAGTCCTATAGTTGTTTATAATCTCGCTTTTCTTTTCATTTTCCACTCGAGCACTGGTGTCTGAAATGAAGCGATACAGTGCTGCATCAAGCTTCAATGCAGGCTATAGCCGTTCCTGAATGGTCCCGAAATTTGATTAGGCGTTACTTGGTGGCAACGTCAGTCTTCTTTTCAAGAGGCGCGCTTACGGCATAGACGTCACTTGCTGCCACCGCGAGTGTCTTCGACAGCTTCGCTTCGCAAGTTGGGCTGTATCTCGGCAAACACGCTGCCACGACCGTTCAGGCACGGCTATCCACCACCGCGATGCAGTTCCTCCAGTTTCCAGACACCACCGAGCCCAGAACCTGTCGCCTCGCGCGGTGCACCGTCCGCCCCGGCTCCGGCGGCCGCCTCACGACATGTACACGCGGATGAAGTCCTGGATCGGCTGCCGGCAGATGGGACAGCCGTCGCGACGGCTGCGCAGCATGCGCGCGCACCGGCAGCACGTGCAGAGGTGGTGACAGGGCGACATGACGCAGTCGCGCGCCGCGTCCATGCAGACGGCGCAGTCGTGACCGGCGCCGCGGCCGGCCGCCACCTCCGCCGCCGGCACCAGGTTGCCGATGAAGGCCAGCTCGGGCGCGTACTGGCGCTCGGTGCTGCCGACGCCGATGACGGCGGCGAGCCGGCGCCGCCGCCAGTGACGCCGCTGCTCGCGCTGCTCCTCGGTGAGGATCACCGGCTCCGAGCCACAGCGCAGGAACGGCGTCATGCCCATGTGCGTGAGGAACTCGGTCACGGCTGTCCAGCGTGCTCCTGCTCGTGGTCACGCCCTAGCGTGACCTCCACTTCCGGCACGTAGTAGACGGGGTAGAGGAACCGCACGCCGATCACGCGCTCCGGCCGCTCCACGCGCTCGGCCAGCGTCGCCACCGGCACGTGCAGCGTGCACGAGGCGAGCACGGCGTCGCCGGCGGCGGCGGCCGACAGCCGCGCGAACACCTGCCGCTTCACAGCCGCGTCCTCCACCACGCACTCGAAGACGAAGCGCGCCTCGGCGACGGCCTCCTCCAGCCGCGCGAAGAGCGTCAGCCGGCCGGCGAACGTCGGCTGCAGCAGCAGGCCGTCGCGCCGCAGCTGGCCTCGGTCCAGCTTCAGCCGCTCGTGCGCCGAGTCGAGGAGCGCGCGGTCGCGGTCCCAGGCGCGCACCGTGTGGCCGAAGTAGCAGAGCGCGCCGGCCACCTTCAGGCCCAGTGTGCCGCAGCCGACCACACAAACGCGCACCATGATCGCCGCGGTCGGTCGGTCGGTCGTTTGGTCGGTCGGCCGGTCGGCCGGTCGTGGTCGGTCGGCGCCCGCAGGTGGTCGGACAAGCGGCGGCCGCGCGTGAGCTTGCGGCTGCTCTGGGACGAGGCTGTTGAGTCAGGCGACGACGCGCAGCTGAGGGCCAGATCCTCTGCGACGCTGTCGGAACAGACGTGAGGTGACAGAAGGCTTCGGTGACAGCTGAGGTGACGGCTGGGCTTCGGTGACGGCTGAGGTAACAGCGTGGCTTCGGTGACAGCTGAGGTGACAGCGTGGCTTCGGTGAAAGCTAAAGTGAAGGCTAGGCTTCAGTGACGGCCGAGGTAACAGCGTGGCTTCGGTGACAGCTGAGATGACAGCGTGGCTTCGATGACAGCTGAGGTGACAGCGGGTCTTCGGTGACAGCTGAGGCAACAACGGAACGTGCGGGGTTTACGGGGACACTCCGACCGGGCCGCGAGCGGTCACGTGCCTTCAGACGGTGGGGAGGGGAGCTTCGCTCGAGACCCGCTCACCGGCTCTGGATCCTGACGGCCAGCGGGGCTAACCGCGCGCACGGCCACTGCCTGGACGTCTCCACGACGCCGTAAACGAACGCCGGTCGCGTGGTATGGCTCGTTGCTAGGCAACGGCGTCGATCCGCTGCACGGCCTGCCGAGCCGCCTGATTGACGTTTGAATAGAGTCCTGCGAGACGCCGACCTCGCTGTGGTCGCGTTGGCTCACTGACACATCACCCAGAGTGTTGTCCTCAGCGGGCGGGGCCCACACTGCCGAAATTTTGGCATCAGTCGCCTGTAGGATGGCAGCGCATCGCAACAGTTCACCTGTCGCAGCTTACCGCCGCTGGCTGCTGTATGGCAGCAGTGAACCTCGACACAGGCAGCACGAGGCGGCGTCCCTGGGCCCTGCGCAGCGCCACGTTTCGGACTCTTACCCTCGTGGCGAGACCGCGCAGTGTCAAACTGACGTCCGACGACACTGACGATCAAAGTCGCGCCGACACCGCCGCCGGCCGAAGCCGCGCCGCCGCCGGATCGATTCCGGCGAGGCGCGTCGAGTGTAGTTCGCCGGTTGTCCGCCTGTCAGCGCCACCAGTCGGGTCAGGCTGGGAGGAGCGGCTTGGACCCGGCCAAATATCACAGTGTCATCAGCCGGACGCGTCTCACCGCAGGCCCATCCATCCGCGCTATGCACGCAGCACGGGTGGGTGGGCCTCCGATGGTATTGGGTCACCACGTGGGCTTGTAACTGACACGATTTGCGAAGTTTACGAAAGCTTGCCTCGAACGTATGCCTGTGTGGGTGTTTTCGTCGTGCTCCGAGTGAGCTGATTACATCACGAACGTTGCTGGACCATCTGGATGAATGCCTCAAACAGTGTAACAGGTCTGATGGTAACTTACACCTTGAATGCGTTATCAAGATACCCAAGCTGGTGGTGGTATTGTAATTCAGCGACGCAGTTATGCACTTAATGGCCTCGATAAAGCTGCAAGATCTCTTCTCATCAGCTGGGAAATGGCAGCACGTACTATCTTGTTTAAGACGGATGTGGTATTCCATACCACAACAATCGCAATCTGCAGGGCCGATTGCGGATGAGCAGTGAAAAACATCATTTAGCCGGATTTGAACCGTCGACTCCGCGACTAGGACAAAGGACTGCTGCAGCTTTGGAACGACGATGCCATGGGAAGTGCCAACTCGGCGTGGTAAAGAATCCTATCCCAACTCGTGTTCATTACAATTTAAGAGGCACCTTCCCAACATCTTGTTATATTAGGAGCGTGTTTGAAGAGCCGGCGGGGACCAACATCACACAATTTATTTATTTCTAAATATGCTCTTCGATACGTCATTGTTTGGCTACGCCATCGTACCTAGCACACCATTGATTGAGAGCCAATTGATGGCTCTTATATCGGGAAATTTTGCTCACGAACACCAGCTATGAACGGCTTGAAATTATATGTGACTTGGCCTTGATCGTCGCATGGCCAATGCAATGGCAGGATTTGAATGAATTTATTATGGCGTGAAATATGCCCGGGTGGTCTTGAAATAGTCTGCACGGAACAGTCTGCACATTTTCGAGGGCGTATAGCTCAGAAGCTAGACGTGTATAGGTCTAAAGTAGGGCAGGGCTGTGAACTGCACTGAATAATCTTCAGAATGGCTATTTTAGCCCAACACTCTATACAATTGTGAGACGTTCCCTTTAGGTTTTTTGTATATTAGTCTGATTTCTGTAAAAGCCAGTACACATGTCACAATTTTTGTACTATGCATCAAAAAACGTCACTCGTGACTGAAACTTGCACAGCCTGCTCAACATCGATTGAAAGCCAATTGGCGTCCGTTTTACTTGAAACTCGCTCACATACTCTAGATATGAACTATTGGATGATTATATTCTTCTTGGCCTTAAACGCTGCATGGCCAGTGGGACAGCAGGATTTCAATGACATTCATATGGCGTCATGCGTGCCTGAATGACCCTGAAATAGTCTGCACATGCTCACCGGGGTGTAGCTCAGAAGCTAGAAGGGCTTAGGTCTCACGCAGGGCAGGGCTATGAAATGCACCGACTTATCTTCAAGATGGCTTCTTCAGTTCAGAACCCCATACAAAGGTGAAACACTCCCTTGAGTGGGCATAATGCTACTTTTCACGTATCGGCATCCAAGACTGCATGCGATGGAAACATGCCCTACACTCTCCGACAATAACACGGAC